AGAAGAAGAAGAAGAAGAAGAAGAAGAAGAAGAAGGAGGAGGAGGAGGAGGAGGAGGAGGAGGAGGAGGAGAGGAGAAGGAGGAGGAAAGTTCTTAACTATGTACCTCCTGAGAATTTTGTCACCATACTTTTTATTTCTAGGAAAAATGTTTAAGATCATATTAGGTCTTTGTATAATAATAATTCAGCTATTTGCGAGATCCCAACATATTTCAAAAACTCATAGGAGTTTCATTTTACTTTATTTGATTTTCACTCAACATACTGTGGAAAGTGAGGAAAAGTTTCAAAATTCAGAAGTAAATCTTGTAGTTTTGTCTCTAATTAACTTTTGTGCAACAGATACAAACCTCAATTTGTTACATTACCGCTAATCATGCTCCTTCCTATTATTTTATGTATTATACTGTTTTTTATTTTTATATCAGAGCAAGACTTTTTAAGCATCTGTGATTAATACATCTCTTTAATTCTCTAAATCTCTCTCTTCTCTCTCTTTTTTTTTGCCAGTTGTCTTCATTCACTAATTTCTTAATTTGGGTGGTCTTTCCATTTACTCTGTTTTTTTCCATTCCAGTTTCCACTGTCTTTGCCTCATTTCCTTGTGTATTATTACAGGAGTTTTGTTCATCCATCTTCTTTGGTCTAGATGCCAGTCTGTCTATATGGTAGTCCATCTTGCATTTTGTAGCCAGAATTAATTTTGCTAACATTCCTTCCACAAGATTTTAGTGAAAAATAACAAATAGTTCCCAAAACTTTGCAAAATAAATCCTATCAGAGCTACATATATCTTTTGTCAAGCTCCCCCTTCATTTTATATGCACATGCAGTTCTTTGATTACCCAAATTCTGTCATTCTTCAGCTCTGTTTGTGCCAATATTTTTTTCTCTCAATAGCCCAGCTGACTGGCACTGATTACTTCTCCTTTTCTGAAACAGATTATTTAACATATTCATTGTTTATATGAAACAAATTTTGGCACAAGTTCATTGGCTTTGATGAACCTGGACTTAAAATTGATATCACCTGTGATGTTGTCTTATGCTTTCCCTAGCCAATTGTTAGAGCTGTGTATATTGTGGACTTGAATGTCTTCTTACTTATTCAAATAATCTGAACATATTACAATTAAGTGCCACTATTTTGCCTCATTTTGAAGTAAGTTGTAATTTTGTCTATGATTCTTTTTGCTCAGTTGTCCCTCCAATGTGCAGATTTGTTATGTGGGTGGGTCACAGAATTGAGCAGGAATAAGACATTGCTTTGCTTAAGTCACTGGAAAACTGTTAGTGTTTCTTTTCACTGATATTTATGTCAATGCAGGTCATTACTTACCTTGTTATTTATTGTGTAGAAATGAATAAATAGAGGGGTACCTGATGGCTCACTCAATTGCCGACTCTTGATTTTGGCTCAGGTCATTGTGATTTGGCTCAGATCAATTCAAGATCTCAGGGTTTCTTGAATTTGAGCCCCATATCGGGCTCTGTGTTGAGCCTGCATGGGATTCTCTTTCTCTCTCTCTCTCCGTCCCCTGCTCAAGCTCTCTCTGTTTCTCTCAAGATAAATAAATAAACTTGGAAAAAATTAAATGAATAAATAGCTATTTTGAGTATGATAATCCATTTTAAAATAGAAAAATGTTGCACTAATTGGACCAAAGTAGTTTCTGACATCTACATGAATCACGGCTCTGATATAGTCAACTATTAATAAAATGTTCTTTATTTTTGCTCAAAGTGATCTTTATTGTCTTAATTGAAAGTAATTACAAGGGTAAAAGTTGCTTACATTACACTTTGAAAGTGCTATGTTTAATATTTACTCCAAAGTACATTGTATCTTTCAGATTCTTTAGGTTCAATTGTATTTGACAGTTATGGTCTCTTTTCAATTTTAATTGCTTTCTCATTTATTTTTTTAACCA